TGTTTTCACCGCCAGGCCAAGCCCCAGCCACCCACCCTTAGGTCAGCCCCAGAGTATAGAGCCAGTGTAAACCAAGTCCTAGCTCCCAACCTGTGACAGCCACAGCCGCTCTGCGGCCCAGGGTCCAGCCTGTGTCCACGTCCCTGTCTGCTGTTTCCTGTCCTCCACCAACACTGAGGTCCTTCACCCACCCACCTGGTAACCACGGCACTGAGGCCGGAGGCTCCAGGGTCCCCCTCGCCCTACCTTGCTGGCCAAGATGCGGGAGACCTCGTCGTCCACAGAGCCAGGGGCCACGGCCAGGTCAGGGTTGCTGCTGCTGATGCTCTTAGAGCGAGCCAGGTAGAGGCTGGCAGGGCGGCCGGGGCCACGGGCCAGCGTGGCAGGCTGCACTGCCACCGGAGGGGTCCCTGAGCAGGGAGGGAACACGGTCAGGCACCTGCCTACCCCCCTGATGACCACCGCTTCCCAGTGGGCTGCCTTTGGTGAAGTCATTTTCTTGTTATGAGCCTCAAGGGGCCTCGCCTGTAAAATGGGTGTGAGACTGGCTGCCGCCTCGTAACAATTTGGGGGAGACTAAAAAACACTGAGCACAGTGCCGGGCACATAGTAAGCGCCCGGAGAAAGTAGTGGTTCCTATTAGTTACTGAGCAAATGAGAAAAACATCCGACTTGATGGAGGACCCACTGTACCGAGCATTTTGCATGGGTTACTATGTCATCTCCTATGACCAGCACCCCCAGGAACGCGGGGCACTTTATTGATGTTTTACAAACGGGAAAACAGGCTCAGTGAGGTGAAGTCACTTGCCCAAGTTATAGAGCTTGTAGGAGGGCCCTGCTTGAGTCCCTGCTGGCTGATTGGCTGAGTCACCTGCCAGCAAGCAGGCAGATACCAGACCCCGGGGTTGGAGCAAAACTTGCAAGTTGTCCAGACCAGCAGAGGCCCATGTGGCCTCAGAACCTGTGGACATGCCGTTCCCTTTGTCTAGGATGCTCTCCTCCCGGATATTGCCTGTCCCCCAGATTCTCCCACCAATACTCACCACCCAGGGGACCGGGCTCCGTGCCAGGCAGTCGGAAGGCATAGTAGACATAGGCCGCCAGCAGCAGGCAGTGACCACGGGCGTCCTGGGCAGCCTCTAGACTCCGATGGATGAGGCTGACTACATGGGCCATTGCTTCAAAAGCTCCACGGCCCAGGTTCACTGCCGGGCAGAGCAGAGGTCAAATTCCAGGGCCCTGGGCCTCCTACCTTCCTGAGAGAGACGTTAGGGTCCAAGGGGGCATGTGGCCATCGAAGGGTCACAGAAGACCAGCTCTCAGCTCAGTGGGCTGAGGTCACTCTCCAGATGGGAAAACGGAGGCCAGAGAGATAAATGGGCTAGAGGAAGTCACCCAGGACCAGGGGACTGAGGGCCCACTTTCCAGGTGGGGAAACTGAGGGCCGAGGCCGTGCCTACTCACCGATCTGGCCGCCGATGATTGGGGGCCGCACGACCAGGCGTACGAGCTTGTCCAACACGTGGTGAGAGAAGGCAACGAGGAACTCGGGGCTTGCGAGGCGTAGGGCCGCCAGGCTGGCCCGCAGCTCCTGCTCCACGGTGCCCTCGCTCAGCACCCCGTCCTTGAGCCGGAACGGGAAGGCGCCCTCCTCCAGGACGTGCACCAGGGTGAAGAACTTGTCCAGGTATGGGTCCTGCATGAGGGGTTGGGGGTGAGTGGGGAGGGGCCAGGGCCCTGGTCCAGGAAGCCCCAGGGGATTGAGATGGGGGCTGAATGGGCAGAGACACTGAGGCTGGGGAATCAATGAATTGATAATAAATAAGGACAGGGATGAGACACTAGAGCAGCGGTTCTCAACCTGTGGGTCGCGACCCCTGTGGGGGTCGAACGACCCTTTCACAGGGGTCGCCTAAGACCATCGGAAAACACACATATAATTACATATTGTTTTTGTGATGAATCACTATGCTTTAATTATGTTCGATTTGTAACAATGAAAATACATCCTGCATATCAGATATTTACATTATGATTCATAACAGTAGCAACATGACAGTTATGAAGTAGCAACGAAAATAATTTTATGGTTGGGGGTCACCACCACATGAGGAACTGTATTCAAGGGTCGTGGCATGAGGAAGGTTGAGAACCACTGGGTTAGAGGAAGGGAGGGAGGAGAGGGGGAAGGAACCACCGAAACAGCAGGGGACAAGTGGGGGGAGGAGAGGCCGTGCAAAGGGCCAACGCCCCGGCTGGGGCAGCCACTGGCCCTGCTCCCTGCCTGAGTCAGCACCTCCTGGGAGACAGGTCCAGCTGAGTGAAGTCTGTCCATGGCCCAGGGCCAGGCCTCTCCCCGGTCAGTGGGAGCGGTTGCCCAACGCCTGGGCTCCTGTCCTAACACCTACCTGGGGGTGCACGGAGGACACAGCCATGAGCTCCACGCTGAACACGCCCTTGTGGCCGTCCACCCAGCGCATGCCCGGCAGCGCCACCTGTGGGAGGGACACACCTGTGAGCATGGACTGGCTCTCCCCCGCTGGTCAGGCCACCAGCGCCAGTCATTTCAACGATTGCAACACCACAGCCTCAGCACGGGCCTGCCTGGGGGAGCAGCTGGGCACCCTGCCCCCAGCCCAGCCCAGAGATGGGGGTGAGGGCCGTTAGGAGGGAGCACTGTGGGTTCCACTGGAGACCCAAGAGGAACATCAATGGAAGGGAATGAATCAGAAAATAGGATCATGGAAGATGGAGGCCCCAGGGACACGAGTGAACAGCGTGAGGGTATTCACGGAGGGGGTAGGGATGATTGGCCCTGAAGTACTCCTGGGGGACAGTGATCAGGAAGGTGGGCAGGGTTGCTAGGGGGGGACGGTGAGTGCAGAGGCAGGGGCACTAGGAGGCAGGGGTAGGAGGGGACAGGGAGGGACACAGGGGCCATAGGACACACAGAGGTAAGAGCAGGAGTGAGGAGGCAGCCTGGGGCTCTGGCCCCGACAGAGGACAACATGGCTCCCAGAGGTGCTGACGGCAAGGAAGGCAGGGCACGAACGGGGAACCACCAGGAAAGTAGGGAAGGTTGGCAATGCATTCCCGGAGGACCGCGAGGCAGGAGCCCAGGGAGCCTTGGGGACCAGGGCGGTGGGAGGCACGGGGCCAGAGCACTTACGTCAGGTGTGAGCACGGAGTAGCTGGGCGGGGGCTGGTCCACAGACACAGGGAGGCAGAAGGGGCCGGTCCTCAGGCGGCCGTGCTGCAGCAGTGGGATCCACTAGGAAGAGGCTGGGGGTCAGGGGAGGGCCAGGCAGGGGCCAGGTGGGCTGGGGAGTGGGGCAGGCTGGCGGGGGGCCTCACCGTGAAGCCCACGGGAGTCTCCAGGGCTGTGCCAGGCCGGGGCTGGCAGCTGACGTGGTAGAAGGTGAAGAGCAGGTGGTGGTTCTCGGTCACACAGGCTGGAAGATGCAGCTTGAACTCCTCGTAGAACTCAGGGGACCTGGCAGGGCCGGGGTGGCATTCAGGGGACGGCCCCCCCCCTGGTCTGCGCCCCCCCGTCACGTGTTCCCCCAGAGCTGCAGACCCCACTGTCTCTGCTCTCTGCCTTGGGTTCCCCCACTAGCACTTCTGGAACCTGCCCCTCCCTCCCCTCTTCCTGCTGCTGTCCCCCCACCAGTGCCCCGGCCCCCCACCCCACCTACTTGTTGTGGTAGA